AAACACAATACCTCCCTCTTCTCTCTCTTACACACACACAATACCTCCCTCTTCTTTCTCTCTTACACACACACTAAATACCTCCCTCTTCTCTCTCTTACACACACACAATACCTCCCTCTTCTCTCTCTCTTACACACACACACAATACCTCCCTCTTCTCTCTCTCTTACACACACACACAGAATACCTCCCTCTTCTTTCTCTCTTACACACACACACACAATACCTCCCTCTTCTTTCTCTCCTACATACACAATACCTCCCTCTTCTCTCTTTCTCTTACACACACACACACACACACACACAAACACATGTTAAAAAGAAAGAAAGAAAAAGAAATCCAGAGTGCCATGTACTCTAGCTCTACTAAGGAGTACTTCTGAAATATCCTAGGTAGTTGAAAAAAATATAGATAATATGCTTCAAGATTTATCTAACTCTGTGTTTCGGTTTGAACAATAGAATACTAGGAATGGTGGTATAAGCCTATAATCCCAGTACATGGGAAATAGAGACAGGGGATTGAAGAGTTGAAGATCATTCTTAGATAGATGTTGAGTTTGAAATGATCTTGGGCCACATAAGAATGGGCTGGAGAAATGGCTCAGCAGTTAAGAGCACTGACTGCACTTCCAGAAGACTTGGGCTTGAATTCTAGCACCCACATGGTAGCTCTGGTCCTAAGGAATTTAATGCCCCCTTTGGCCTCTTTGTGCACCAGGTACATAAATGATGCACATACATGACAAAACACCCTTACATTAAAAATAAAAACAAAATATTAAAATTAGAAAGTTAAGTAATTTCAAGAAAAGTTCAAAAACTGGGGCTGGAGAGATAGCTTCGCTGTTTAGGGCACTTGTTGCTCTTACAGAAGACCCAGATTTGCTTCTTAGCATTCACAGGATGGGTTACAACCATATGTAACTTCAGTTTCAGAAGATCCCATGTCTTCCTCTGACTTCTGAGGGCCTCAGGCATGCATACGGTGCACAGGCAAAATTTATATAACACAAAACAACAGAATTTAAAAAATAAAAAACTAGAATACTTTATAATCAGAAACAGACCCCAAATATTCAGATTCCAAATACAATGCTTATGTTGTCATCCAAAACTATATAATACATATATATGTATATTTAAATGTGTGTATATAGCATATATAGATGTATATAGTTTTGTTTTGTTTTTTGAGACAGGGTTTTTCTACATAGCAGCTCTGGTTATCCTGAAATTCACTTTGTAGATCAGGCTGGCCTTGAATTCACAGAGATCCTCTCTAGCCTCCCAAGTGCTGGGATTGAAGGTATGTACTACTATAGCCCAACTTTCAGAGATATTCTATCTAGAAGCTTATATTCTCTTTTTCAGGGGAGGATACAGCAGTAAAATCTTATGTGAATGAAAAATAAATGATTAAGGAAGGGATAGATCACATTAGGAAACCGGGAGTTCTGGCCATGCAGTGGCCAACACCTTCTGCATGTCCTACTGCGACACTTCTTAGCAGAGCACTGTCATATTACTGACACTTGGTAAGGACACTGGGGTACAGAGAGCTAACTGATTCATGTAAGATCACACAAGTAAAATATGAAGCTGAAGATCATAACCTTAATAATCTTACTTTTCTCTTCACCACTATACAACTAAGCAAGGAACTATTAAATCTACAGGAATATAGTTTGTCCGAGTTAAATTTTGTTTTGGATTGAAATAAGACAGATTCAGTCTATTTACTTACCAAATGAATATTTGTCATGTTTTTATTTTTTAATATTATTTATTTATTTTTGGAGACAGGGTTTCTTTGTGTAACAATTCTGGGTGTTCTGTAACTCACAGAGATCTACCTGTCTCTGCCTCCCAGTTGCTAGAATTAAAGGTATGTGCCACCACTGCTAAGCTATTTTATTTTTGTTTGCTTGTTTTGTTTTTTAAGGAACATTTCCTACCTTCACTCAGAGAAGGGCGAATAGGTGGTGAAACCAAAGGACCAAAGGTCTCTAAGTCAAAACGTCCAGTACGGGATTGAGCCTTCAGTAGCCAATAGCGTTTCTCCAGATCAATGATGTCTGACTCCTCCACTAAGAATCAAATCAAACAAGATTATAAACTCAGAATGCCCTTCTGAGGCATTAGTTTATCCAGATAATACGTCTTTTAAGGGCATATTTTCTCAATTCAACTACTAAAACCAATTATGCTAAAAACATACTCTAAAAGATAAATTTATCATATTTAAAAACTAAGAAAATAAAGCCAAAATAGCAAAAGTACGAAACTATAAAACTCATAGAAAACAAACTCTTAATTTCCCATTAAGCAGACTTCTAAAATCTAACATACAAAATCATATATTATTGAACCATTCTAGTCATTTTCAACCTCCACCTTAGATGTAATTTTTTTTTGTGCATATCTTCTCTTGTGGTTAGAAAGTAACCACCACAATGGTAGGACCCACATTTAACTCACACAGTCAACACAATGCTCTAGGTAACGAACAGCAAAATACTGACAGGATAAATATGAACACAGACAAACTCTAAACATGGTTACATTTTAAGTGTTTCTGCTTCCCTCCTAAGCAATTAAAATTTAGGAAGCATGTAGGTATTTTATTCTCAGCTAAACACAGTACTCAAGAGCTATCTTACTAAAATGTAATTCTGGGCTTGTCACTTTTGGGCCATAAAGAAATATCAACTAGTGTCAGACTTACCCTCTGGTCATAAATGGCTACAAACTATTTACATAACTATACAAATCAAGCATTTCTAGAAACTAGAGAACACACAGTGCAGGGCTTCAATTCTGAGATCACTATCAGGTGAGCACTTCTATTGCTCAGTTATTGCCTGTGACTACTATCATCAAAGTGACAAAGGATAAGGAGTCTCAATATAGAGATTTCACTGTGTTAAGAATAGAGGTCACTGCAGGGAGGCTGGGGTAGCTGAAAATTGGAGAGAAACGTATTAGAAACAAGTTACACAGAGAAAGAATTCCAGAAATCTGTACAGTTACATTGTTTTGGAAGCTAATTTGTGTTATACAGAGGGAAACTCACTAAAACTTGTCTAGGAACAGAAAGCAGGAAAGTTCCCAGAGTGTAGGCAAGCTGGGAGATACCACTGTACATCTACAACGTCGAGCATTGGGAAAAGGCAGGAAAGAGGCCAGCAGATGGCTCAGCAGGTAGAGGAACTTATCACCAAGTTTGACAACCTGAATCTGATTCAAATATCCACATGATGGAAAGAGAGGAAGTCCTCTGACCTTCACACACACACACACACACACACACAACATGGCATGTACACACCATGCACACATAAAAATATAAAAGAAAACATAAAAAAGTAGGAAAATGTGATACAAAACTAAGATAAAAATTAACAAAAAGACCTAAAAATAAAAGACAAAGGAATTAGACAAGGCTTGAAAACTATGAGTTATAAATATCCAAAATTAATGGTTATGATGCACACCTTTAATTTCAGCACTAGGGAAAAAGAGACAGACACATGTGGACCTCTGAGTTCTAGGTCAGCTAGCCTGGTCTACAATTCCAGGAGAGCCAAGGCTACACAAAGAAACCCTGTCTTGAGAAACAAAACAAAACAAAACAAAGCAATTCAGAAATAAAGAAATATACCGAGGTAAGAAACTGCAACTAACTGGAACCATCTAAGATGAAAAATAACATTTAAGTTAAAAAACTACCCATTAGAGAACTCAGTAACAGCTTAGGAAGGAGACAAGAGGAAAAATTAGCAAAGCTGAACATAGGACCACAGAAATTATTCAAATGCAAGCACAATGAGAAAACAGACTGAACAACTCATTAGGACCAAAGTGATTATAAGATAATATTAAACATGAAACTGTGAAGGACCCAAAAACAACAAAAGAAAATATTTGAGGGCTGGAGAGATGGCTCAGTGGTTAAGAGCATTGGCTGTTCTTCTAGATGTCCTGAGTTCAATTCCCAGCAACCGCATGGGGGCTCACAACCATCTGTAATAAGATCTGGCGCCCTCTTCTGGCGTGCAAGCATATGTGCAGGCAGAATGTTGCATACATAATAAATAAATTAATCTTAAAAAAGAAAATATTAGAAATTCATAGAGATCTACCTGCTTCAGTCTGCCAAATGTGGGCATTACTGGTTCTATGTGGCTCTGAAAAATTTTTAAATTTGGTGAGAACTAATCCCCATACCTAACCACACTAATGCAAGATATAATAAATTACTGATAATGGAAAAAAGAATCATAGCTGGGATGCAGTACACATGCCTAGCAGATGTGAGGCCCCGAGTCAGATCCCTAGCACAGGAAGAGAGAGAGGGAAGAAGGAAAAGGATCTTTAAGATCAGGTCGGACATAGTGGCACATACTGCCAATCCCAATATTCGGGAAGTAGTTGCAGGTAGATCTATGAGTTCCAAGACAGCTGGGGCTATCTTGGGGTTAGGGAAATGGGGATAACAACAAGAATAGGACAAACATAAACAAAACAAAGGAAATAAGTATATTCAGATAAAAGGGAGCAAGAAGTAAAAAAGGCAAACTACTAAAAACAAAACTGCCAATCTCAATAATATATACTGCCAAAACTGTACTAAAAATACAGGAAATACAAGGGCTTTGTGAAGCAACACAGTATTCAACAATAACAGAATTGCATAAAAAGGAATAAACAGAAAAACATACTAGTTGGGATTCACATCTATAGAAAAGAATATGTAACAACAACCAAAAAAAAAAAAACCAGACAAATAAACAAAGAACCCAGGAAACATTCAGGCTCTTACTGCCACAGAGATCCTATCAACAACCTTAGGAGATTATTTTCGGTACAAATTTGGCTGCAGCTTTCTGTTGAGGATGTCATTGAAACTGCTAGATTCTGAAACTAAGATAATTACTATGTGTTGCAGTGGTGGTATTAATTTCTAGGGAATGTCCACAGGCCTCAAATTATTTACTACTGGCCTCTTCAGAAAACGCTTGGTAAATCGTTTTATTAAGTCTTTGAAACATCAAACATAAACTGTGGTGTAAAAAAAAAAAAAACACTGGGACTTTGGAATTATGAGTTAAGAGACAGAGTTTAAGATTTGAGATTTCACAATTCTGACGTCCTGAAATGATAAGATTGCAAGGCCTTTTTCTGTTTTATATAAATTTTTTAAAAGTAGAGTAAAGGCAGCAATTTGCCACATACCCTTATCCTCATAAACGTTGTGACACCTCCCACCAGATTGGTACATCGTATAACTGCTGAACACACATTGACACGATTTCAAGTAAAGTCCGTAATTTACATGATTTGTTTTAGAGGTCATTCTTGATGTTGTGTATTACTGGTCTGGACAAGTGACTTATTATCTACTATTGTATTATCACAAAGTAACTTCATACTTCCCTAAAAAAAACTTCTGTGTTCTTCCTTCCTATTCACCCTTCCTCCCCATTAGTTCCTGGCTAACTGCTGATATTTTATTGTTGTTGTTTTATTTTTCAAGACAGGGTGCAGCCCTAGCTGTCCTGAAACTCAGAGATCTGCCTACCTCTTGAGTGCTAGAATTAAACCACCACCACCTAGCTTACTGTTGATCTTTTTTACTCCTTTTTTTTTTAAAGCTTTTAGAGCATTTTTAATTGAGAGACTAACTGAGTAGACAATCTTTTCGTTTGGTGTTTCTTCAAATTCAAATCTGAAAAGTTTTCTCTCAGGTTTGTCTGGTTTCTCTACCTCCACTAGCCTTACCTGAAAGCTCAGCATCTGTTCTCAAGATTGAAGACATCCTATATTCCTTCACATCACCTAGGAAGAGTCACTCACTCATATGGAACTCAGCTTTGCTTTCTAGTGGTTTTGTTGGACCATAGAGTCCAATCACCGAGGAGGAGTGGCCCCAAGAGACGATCTCTCACACCACAGCTGATGTAAAAGCATGAGGATTTTATTAATTCTGTCATGACAAGGTCTTTCAGTATTAGAGAGGCCAGAAAGACCCCGAATGGCTGGTACAGGCTATTTTTAAAGCAAAAAACCACAGAAGCAAGGGGGGTGTCTAGTGGTTGTTCTTTAACTTTTATGATTGGCTTATTCAAAAGGGCTATTACCAATAATTGGCTGGAGAGCTGTTGCCAGATCAGATGAGGTAAGGGGAAACATCTGAGGGTCACTTTGTCCCTTTCCCAGGGACTGGGTCAAAACTGACTTTGGGCCATTCTAATCAATCTTACCTCACAGAGGTTCCAGCTCTAGAAGTTCTTTAATATCAGAATGATCCTCATGAAAAAGACCAGGCTCAATATTCAAGTATTTTATATAGTAACACACTTCTCTAGTGTTTTGAGGAGACAACCTGCTCTCAGAAGCAATGGCCTCTGACATTTACTTAGAACAGCTAGAAGTCTTATGTCATTATGAACAAGTAAGAGGATGGTGAAGGAGACATGATTAAATTGGGGGCCTATGGTTTTACAGTCACTGAAATATACTTCCCCTACTGAAAGAAGGCTCTAATATGAGATGTGGCAATGGACTAGAAGACACCGATGTTTATAATCTTAAGGAGATAGATGTAGCTCAGGGGTAGAGGACTTTTCTAGCACAGTATTCTAGGCTTAGTCTCTACGTAGCAAAAACAATAAAAAAAAAACACAAAGGTAAGATACACAGCAATTAAAAAAGAAGTATGGGGCCTTAATTAAAAACCAAGGAAAAGGTTAACATCTATTATTTTGTTTTGTGTGACAAGTTCTGCAATATATCCCAAGGCCTTATGCCATTGAAATAAGATGAATGACAATAATGACAAATGAACAGTTTTTTTTTTAAAGACAATATAATTTTGCACTAGGGGTGGTGGTGCCACATAGCTTCAATCCCAGCACTCAGGAGGCTGAATTTGAGCCAGTGTGGTCTATAGAGTGAGTTCCAGGATAGCCAGGCTACACAGAGTAACCCATGTCTCAAAATAAAAACAAAAACAAAACACTGCAAAACCAAACCAAAACAAAACAGAACAACCCCCAACCAACCAACCAAACAGGAACTTAAAAAA